AGTTGATTTTATGGATTAGTGTTACTTGGAGTTTCATTTTGCTTCATTCAATCTTTAAAGAGTTTATGCTGTGATTGTTTATTACAATGTGATTGGCATTGAGTTTGACTTTGAATTTTTGTAAACCTGAAATTATTGTTGCTCTTTTGAAAAATTTTGATCAAGCCTTCTCCCTGATCCATTTTCAGAAATTCAAAGGTAGTTTATAACTTTGTGAAAGTAGTTATGTGAATTAGTTTTCTCAAGAAAGGTTTTGTGACTTGGCAGCACTTTCAACTTTGAAAAAGATTTACTAAAAATCTATTTTGTAAAGCTTTGAATTAAGCATAGGTATCTATTGATGGATACCTTTTTTTGAAACTTATTTTCAAAATTTTGTGCTACTAATGGTTGCTTATGGTTGAAATGAAGAAGAGGATTTGAGTCAAGGTAACATTAAAGTGAAGGTGGATTAGATTTCAGTGGTGATAAAAGTGTGATTTGTTGGGATTGAGGAATACATAGCGTTCGAGTGATTTATGATCTTAATCTTTGATCTAAGTTTAGGAGAGAGCTTTTCTTCCTTTTAAGGTAGCTTAGTGTTCTTTTCCTTTCATCTTGTGTTGTTATTGGTTTGTTTGCTTAGTTTGTGTGCAGTGTGATTTGTTTCTTTTGTGCAGGAAAAAATGACCCTAAAGAAGAAAACCCGCTGTGCACCTCTTGAACTCCTCATCAAAGAACTGGTTAGCAATAGAGGGTTGCATCAAGATTGAGAGTTCCCTTGCACAAGTATATTTGCATTTTGTAAAAAAGGCAAGGACTACAATTGCTCTACCTAATCGAACCAAAAACAATAGGAAATGAAAAATTTGCCTGGAAGTTCTACACCAGTGCAGCTTTAGAGGGTGCCTTGGTAGCAATGTTTCACTTGGACACAATCACCATTAATATGGGGTAATCATAGACTTTTACAAGCTGCTTACATTTGAGGAGTGTAAATACAAATGGTATTTGGATAACCCTAGTGAGTTTCCTTTTGATGACACTTCTGAAATTAAAAGGAGTGTCTTTTTTATTTTATAAAAATTTCAACAGAATTTCTCCTTAAATATAATGAATACCAAATTATTTAAACAATGGATAAGTCAATCAATCAACTAACCAACAATATAAGAAACAAATACAAAGTAAATTTGTACAATTTTAATTGTTTGAATAAAAGAATATTATATATATTTATTTATTTAATTAATTTTGTATAAAAAGTTAGCAAGTTCATTGCAGTGCACATGCACACATAAGGTCCCTAGTTTGAGTCGTGGAGAAGTAATTTGGAGGAGAAACTATGTGGTGGTGAGATGGCATGTGAGATGACGACATGTGGAGGTGAGGTAGTGACACATGGTGGCTGAGTTGAGGTGGTAGCAACACATGGAAGTGGTAGGTAGTCATCACCGGTGATGAGGTGGCAGCTAATTCCATCGCATTTTTCATCACAAATTAGTAATGGAGTAATAATGGAAAAATCAGCAACAAAATTTTTTTGTCAATAATCCAATTAGCGACAGAGGAATTTTTTATTGCTAATTCGATTCTGTTGCTAATCACTTTTTTTTTTTTAGTGTAATTGGTTTTTTTTTTTTCAATTTTACTCTTATTGACTTAATAAATGCATGGAGAAAAATAAAGTAAATAGGTGAGAGAAAATATAAAATATAGTTTTAACACCCTTTCTTTAATATGGCACATGTGAAAAAATTATCAATTTAATACATTTCTTGACTTGTGAGCTTGGAATATAAGTGACTTATAAATAAGAACTGATAAGCATATAGGTTTAGAGAAATATTAATTATTAAGACATGTTTGTGTGTGCGGTAAAATAGTGGACAAGTGATAACCTCTCAAAATTCCTACTGAATTAAGCTGATTTAACATTCTTTTATTGGGTTTATAAGTCAATTTTGCAGGAAACAAAGCCTGAGGAGAGTAAAGAATGGAGAAGGAGCTGAAAAGAAGCATCCGCCGCGGCCTATGGAAGAATCTGCCGCGGCGGATCACACAGAGAGGGAAGACTGAGCCTCTGTGAAATCCGCCGCAGTGCCCTGATGCATCCGCCGCGGTGCCCGAGCTACATCAGGAAGAAACCCGTTCGGTGAAATCCGCCGCGGCCTATTATCACGTGCACCGCGGCGCCTTAGTGACAATCCATTCTGTAATAGGCGCCGCGGTGCCTGAAGCAATCCGCCGCGGCGCCTGGTCCCTCGCAGCTATGCGTTTTACTTCCTAACTTAAAAAATTAGGGCATATAGAGTGAGAGAAGGGGCTTTCTAGAGGGAGTTCGACTTTTGGAGCAATTTTGGAGGTTGGCTCTGCTAGGGTTTGGAGTTTTGGAGGCTTGGAACTTTTGGGCTTGAAGCTAGAAGAGATTCAAAGCTTGTATCTTAAATTTTCTGGGTTTCCTTCTTCTTCCCTTCTTGTTTCTGCTATGACTACTAGATATTCCTATAGTTGTAGTTCTTTACTTGCCATGTATAGCTAAATCCGTTTTTCTAGGGTTATTTTGATCTATTGTATGGATTGAGATTTGGGTTTTACTATCTCTTTAGTGTTAATAATAATATTCAGTTGTTTTTACTTTGAGCTTAATGCGTCCTTTTGTCTGGCCATCATTTGGATTGATTGGTTGATTAATTTAACTTGAGAAAGTTAGACTAATTCGTGAACTTAGGTAAAAACATGCTAGTCCAGAAATTCATTTGAGTGAATAGATGGTTTGTCGATTGATCAGGGATGTATTTGTTGACCTAGCATAGACTAAATGGTTTTTGGTTTTTAAAGAGCAACCTTTTCTAACAAAAGCAAGAGATTGCTGAGTTTTAATGGTGTTTGCAACATTTGGTTTTGACTTGAGAAAACTTAATCAATTCTATAAACCCAGGCTAACTGAATTTATTGTGAAACACTATTAGAGAAGTAATTAATCCAGTTTCATGAAGTACTTTAGTGAAGAATAACCCTAGTCTATTAATTGTTTCAAGGTCGATTCGATTTTATACTGCTTTAAACCACTAGTTTCTGAACTTTCATTTCACAAACTCTTTTACAACGATTATTTCACTTAACCTAATCAAATACATAATTATGATTATTCAACTCATCTAGCCTTAGTCTCTGAGGGAACAATACTTTTTATATTACTTGCGACCCGTCCACTTGCGGTCAAGTTATTTGTTGAACAACAAGTCAAGATGAAGAAGGTCGATGTGGATTATTAGAAGGCAGGATTTACGAGCATTGAAGTCTTATAGACAAATGAATGCACACCCACCTAAGTTGGAAGCGTATGGCGGTTCCTTAATTAATAGGCCTATTTTTCGGATTCTCAAGGGATAATGATCACATTTCTTATTATTCAAAGCTATATATTCATCAGTAACTGTCTTCTTGTGTTCGCAGTCATTATGTTGTTAGTAATTCTGGTCCACCTAAGCTTTATAAGTTGTCAGCTTAGTTTTGTTTTTAACATTACATGTCTATTTGTGGCGATGATATGATTCTATTATATTGAATGAAAATATTATATCGTTGGCGGCCCCGGAAACTTTTTTTTTCTTCAAAAACCTCGTTCATTAATATATTATGAACACAAGTTCAAAGAGAGTTTAATCCCAAAAAAAAAAAAGCTTATTAGAAGAGAACTCCTTAAATTTATACACCATACTACACTTGTGAGGCTCTTCACTTTTTCAAGAAAACTGATCCAAGACTTATAACAACATGGAACTATGGATGTTCACCTCCCTAGACAGATATTTTTCTCAAGCTCTGCAAAGATATCTTTCCTGAAATTTTATTCAGACCTGCCTCAACTACCTAGTCTTGTGAGGAAGAAACTATCAAGCCCAAAAGTCTTAAACAGTTCCACGTTCACTTCACACAACCAAATCCATTATTTTCTCCATTAATATTATTGTTGAGCGTTGGAGGGAGCCATGACCACCATCATCTTTAACTATACAGTCTCGCTACATGTGCATCGGTCTAAATACACATAAAATAGGTCTAGCTCGTGAAAGCCTAAAAAGATCATTTTACTGGGGAGGAAAAAAAACAAAAAAACAAAAACAACCCACAGACTTCACCGGAAATAGAAATATTATATAATTTCCAATCTGGACTGTCTTAGCATGCCCTCCCAAAGACAGATTAGTAATCTGGACTGGCAAATGAATGGTCTTCAACAGAACAACATTGCACACACTGAAGGAAGACTTAAATGTAAGTCAGTTAAAGAGTATTATTACAAATATATCTGTCCCTTTTTTGAGCAATTTATAACTGACTTAAGAAATTTACTGGTCTGGATGGAAAAAGAAAAGAAAGACATGACCCAGTCTAAAGCAGTATTTACTGGTCTGGAAGGATATTTTTCTCAAACAGTGCAAAGATCTTTTCTGAAATTTCATGGGAACCTTAAACATAGTCTCGTGAGAGGAAGAAAGGCCAATGACTTTTCCTTTTGGCAAGATCAAGACCAAAGACCTTGAACAGGTCCCATAGCTTAGTTTCTCGTTGTGCGTCCCTATCGCACTTCACAGTCACCATTTAGTTTCTCGTTGTGTGTCCCCATCACACTTCACAATCACCATTAATATTGTTGCCCTAGGGACCCATATGACAGCCATCACCTTAAGTCGTATCATTTTAATTTACTCAGAAAAGAGAAAACCCAAAGCCCTAGTACACACACGCTCACACACAGAGTAATTATAATTTTTGGAACAGAAATATCATATAATTTTCAATCTAGGATGTCTTAATTACTTCTTTGACAGAGCAACGCTGCAGAAAAGCAAGACTTTAATGTAAGCGAGTCCTATACCTTTTGGACGACTCACGTAACCAGTATATCTGACATGTTAAGAGGTACTATAAATATCTTTGCCCTTTTAGCTCAGCTAAAGTATAACCGACTTGGGAAATTTAGCCCCAGCTTTATCCCTTGCCCCGTTACCACCATGAAGCCTTATTCTGCGAAAGCCCTAATTCTGATAAATGTTCCATTGTTTCTTCTATTGGTGCTTCTTTCTTCTTGCCATTCTCTTCATAGAATAACCCCAAGCCAGCCCCTCAGAGACGGCGATGCTTTGCTCTCAGATGGAGGAACCTATGCCCTCGGTTTTTTCACCCCTAGCAACAATTCAAGAAAGCGCTACGTTGGAATATGGTTTGCAAGATCCTCTAAACCAGTTGTTGTGTGGGCTGCTAATAGACAGACTCCTCTCAATAATACTTCTGGAGTTTTGTCGATTGATGTCCATGGAAACATCGTTCTCGTTTACAATGATACTGATTTATATAGGAATACCCCCATTTGGTCTTCCAATGTTTCTTTCTCATCTTTTAGTGATCACACCTTTGCCGAGCTTCAGGACACTGGAAACTTCGTTTTAATTAGGAATAAAGGGAGGCCAATATGGCAGAGCTTTGACTACCCTGGCGACACGAGGCTTCCGTTCATGAAAATTGGGGTGGACCTGAGAACTGGTTTTAATTGGTCCATGACATCATGGAAATCCCCAGACGACCCAGGAATGGGGGACGTGACTCACATGATCGACCCAACAGGTTATCCTCAACTGTTCTTGCTTAAAAATGGAGCTCCATTTTGGCGAGGCGGGTCTTGGACGGGTCAGAGATTTAGTGGAATACCACAAATGACGCCCAACTTCATCTTCAACATCACTTATATTGACAATGCCAATGAAGTTAGCACTGTGACCCGAGTCATGGACCCTTCAGTATTCTTAATAATGGTGCTAGACAACACTGGCCATGAGACACGAACTGTTTGGCGAGCTAAGGAGAATAATTGGCTCCAAGTTTGGTATGGTCCGACAGAGCACTGTGACCACTATCATTGGTGTGGGTCGAATAGTAAGTGTGACCCATATAATATGAACAAGTTTGAGTGTGTGTGCTTGCCCGGATTCGAACCCATGAACCCATATGAGTGGAATATGAGAAATGGGTCAAGCGGGTGTGAGAGGAAGAAGAATGTGTCCACGTGTCGTAGCGGGGAGGGGTTTGTGAAAGTGGCACATGTGAAGGTGCCAGATACATCAAGGCACGTGTGGATAAGAGCGAGAGTATGAACTTGAAAAGTTGTGAGGAAAAGTGCCTGAGGGATTGTTCTTGTGTGGCGTATACGAATGCGGATGAGGTCAAAGAAAGTGGGTGTTTGACATGGCATGCTGATATGGAAGACATCAGAACATTCGAAAATGTGGGCCAAGATTTGTATGTGCGTGTGGATGCAAATGAATTGGGTAAATTCTTCACTTTCACTTCTTTTATGTTTTTCTTATTAACAGTACAAAATTTAAAGCCAAAAAGAACTTTTAAGTAATATAGATGTAATTTGTGTATTTGTGATCATATTATTAAATTCTGATAGAACCATAAAATTCATAAAATAATTTATTTCTTTTTGAAATATGCCCTGTTCTCTAAAATTTTTCTTCATTTAATTAATATTAATTAATTTTTTAAATTTTAAGAGATTGTTTAATTAGAATAGTATTTTATTTATTTTAATTATAAAATTTATTTTGGTCATTGTATACCATTTTATAACATGCAGCTGATTATTATTTATATTGATGATATATTAGCCAAAAATCATCATTGATAATGATTATATTTGCAAGGGATCAAACTGAGAGAAAATTATATGTGAGGGACAAATTGGGAAGATAAATAGTCGGAAGTAGAACATCTGGGGCCTTTAATGTGTCTCCCTCTAATATCTGTTGTGGTGTCCCAGCCTCCCGACCTTTAATGTGCCTCAAAATTTTAGGGTATATTTTCTTTGAAAAATAATAAAAATTTTAAAATTGCACTATTTTTTAACTCAAGATATCAGTATGCACTAATTTTATGTAAAATTGAATCATCAAAAGAAAAATTAAAAGAAAATATTTGCAAAATTAGCATCATAATAGACAATAAAGATATCAGAGGAATGCACATTTGAGGCCTCAAGCCCGAAGCTGAATGTTTTAGGCACAAATTCAAAATAAAGACCCGTCTTTATCCAAACTATGTATAGATGGATCTTTAAATCTACGTACTGAGATGATCTATTGTAAGAAGTATCACTTTCCCACACTAGTAAAAGTATATTCATTTAACCTCTCTCAAAAGTATCATGATAATTCATTGGGGGGGGGGGGGCATTTTTAAGCTTATATTAGTTGTTTGAACTTAAATTCCTCTCTGGTGTATTATTGTTTGCAGCTAGATATGAAAGGAAGCATTATGGTTCTCTTGGCAAGAAGGGGATGATGACCCTCATAGTTATTTCTATTTGCTTGATAACATTCCTGGTCATCTCTTTCTTATGTTGGTTTGTAATAAAGAACAGGAATCAAGGTGAGCTTTATTTCCATCATTTCGCCCACAAAATGAAGTTGTTGAGTTGATAAAATCCATACACGGCACTAAACTTACTTGAAGATTTGTCTTTTTAATCTACAGTGGTGATTAATTGGCTGTATTACAACTCATCTCTTACATCTATTTTTTCACTTTTTATTTCACACAGCAAAAAGAATGCACGGAGAATTTTTTTTTGACGGAGAAGACAATTCCAATTTAACTCTGTTTGACCTAAAGGACATAATTGAGGCAACAAACAATTTCGCAGACGCTAATATGCTTGGAAAAGGTGGCTTTGGTTCAGTATATAAGGTAGATGTTCTATGTATAAGTAGTCTGAAATTTCATAAATTGGATTAACATTGTTTTCAATGCCATTAGCTTATTATTTATAGTAGTGGTTTCATATAACAAAGATAAAATGCATACATTCATGAATTAAATTATGGATTTTGACATCAGGGTCTACTTAAAGATGGAATGGAAATAGCAGTTAAGAGGTTATCAAAGTATTCTGGACAAGGCATCAAAGAATTCAGGAATGAGGTTACTTTAATTGCAAAGCTCCAACATAGAAATCTTGTAAGGATCTTAGGTTGTTGCATGGATGGAGAAGAGAAGATGTTGATATATGAATATTTGCCAAACAAAAGCTTGGACTCCTTCATATTTGGTGTGTCTTCTTCTCATTTAATTTGTCTACATATATAAGATTTTGTCAAAATTTACAATTGTTGAAAATGAGAGAATTGATCAAGCGATATTCTTTACTTCTAACAGTTTATCTCTTTTATTTAGATCAAGCGAAAAAATTACAATTAGATTGGAGGAAAAGATTTTACATCATTTGTGGAGTTGCAAGAGGAATTTTATACCTTCATCAAGATTCAAGATTAAGAATAATTCACAGAGACCTAAAAGCTAGCAATGTCTTGTTAGATCTTGCAATGAATCCTAAAATTGCAGATTTTGGTATGGCAAGAATATTTGGTGGTGACCAAACTGAAGCAAACACAAACTGTGTTGTTGGAACTTAGTAAGTACTCTATAGCTCATATTACTTCAGTTCCCTAGCATTGCATTACACGTACATATGCCTAGTTTCCACAAGTTCGAAAAATACTAGTAACACTAAAAGCTACACTTTGAAGTAGTACTTCGGTGGGAATGATTTTCTACAATTCAATATCTGTATATAAATAATGTAAATTTCAATGCTAGAAAATCCATTTTTCTTAGTCAAATATCATTTCAAACACGAGCTAGATAGGTTTGTGATTTATTCCAGCCCATTCAAATTCAAAGTCAATATATTCATATGACAAAATATGCTAGAAATAATAAAAAAAAAAAACAATTCAGTGCTATAAAACTAAGTATTTCTAGTCAGAATGATTATTGACAAATTTCATTAATATTTTGTAGTGGTTATATGTCGCCAGAATATGCAATGGAAGGAATTTTTTCAATAAAATCAGATGCGTACAGTTTTGGAGTTTTACTTTTGGAGATTGTTACTAACAGAAAGAATAGTGGTTATTATGATGACATTACTTCTACTTTGGTTGGACATGTAAATACAGATAATGAACAACTTGAGTTAAGTTTGCTCTTTTCTAATAGTCCGCTTGCTTAATGAATTCAATCATTTCAGATTTGGAATCTTTGGAGAGAAAGCAGAGCTATGGAGATTATTGATCCATCGTTAATAGGTGATCCATGCCTTGAACATGAAGTTCTCAAATGCATTCATGTTGGGCTTTTATGTGTGCAAGAATATCCAACAGATAGGCCTACCATGTCAGAAGTTGTTTTCATGTTGGATAATGACTCAACTCTTCCTCATCCAAAGCAACCAGCATTTCTTTTCAAGAAAACTAATTGTGATGATTCAAATCCGTCAATCAGTGAAGGAGTTAATTCAGTTAATGAGATGAGTACTACTGTGATTGAAGCTCGCTGAAAATCATCACTCTCTTATAATTGGTAATGCTCTTATAATGCTATGATATACTTGTGATGAAGTGATGGATATATTTTACGATTTTTAAAACATTGTGAATGATAATAATGCATATATGTTTTTGCATTGAAGTCAAGTGTGAATCGCAATGATGCATAGATTTTTTTTTTCCCTATTGCGGTTACAAAATAAATGATGTTTAAAACTTGCTTAGTTATCAAGCTTGGTTTTAGTTGTTAATTACCAGCAGTATTGGATATCTTCTTCCGTGTAACATTTTGTTGCCATACATATACGGCATAGCCCCAAATTAATTGTCCTTGAAATTTAGGGTTATAAAGCTAGACATAACCTCAAAATTAATTGAACAAAATTTTTCGTGTTAATTACACAATTTGCTTCGGAAATTCTATGCGCGAGAGGTAATTAATAAGGGTAAAATTTCAAATATTTAATACTTTTTTAATATCTATAAAAAAGACACATTCTCAATATAAAAATAATAATAAAAAGAGTTAAGGTGTAAATTTATCCTAAAAATTTTTTACTAAAAAGCTCTGGATATCAGAAAGTTCTTTTGGATTCAATTTCACCTTAGAAGTTTTCAAATCGTAGCAATTTCATCCCAGCCATTATCTAGATTAAATTTGACTATTGGTTGGCTAGATACACTGAGTTAGCAAGTCCTTATAGTTTCACTTGATCTTTAATCATGTCTCTAAATTTCTTTATTCATTCTATAAATTATAATAATATTCTTTGATAAATATAAAATATAATATTATCTAATATTATTCGATAAACAATAATATTCTATAATAAGATATTACAAGAGTAATTTTATTTTAATATTTATTTAGAATTTTGAATTAAACTTATATAGTTAATTATATTAGTTATTTTTTATTATCATTAATTTTAAATGTATTATTAATAATTTATATTTCAATATTATTTATATAATTATTTTAAATTAAATTAATAAATAAAATTTAAAAATATATAGGGACTTTAATAAAAATCAGGTTAAACTATAAAAATCAAATAAAAAGGAAAATAAATGCAAGATCTAATTAAAAAAATTGAAAGTATAAGAACCTGATAAAAAAGAACTATGAGATCTAAATTAGTTGAAACTATAATGACTTGACTATTAATGGTCCAAGATTTTCAATAATTATTTTTTTAATCTCATATTCTTAATTTTTTTAGCAAATAACTTGCTAAACAAAGCTCCTTGTACCATTGCTGTCAGCCTGTTACATCCTATAAAATTTAACCTTAATAATGGTAATGAAAAATTTAGTCCAGGGCCAATAGGAAAAGTAGATTAGCTAACTTAGCCATGCATGACATAAAATCCAAATAGGGTCAGGACTAATATTTTCATAACATCCGGTATAGGTTGGACAAACTGCAAGGGGGTATCAGAAAAATTAAAAATTTCCCCAAAAATAGAAAAAAAATGGAGGTTTGAGGATTTATGAGGTCACAGAGGTGAAAAGGGGAAAAGGGTAAAATAATTTATTACAGAATTTTCAAGATTTATCAGTATTTATGACCTAATAAGGATTTTTTGTCATAATTAATTACTTGAGTTACCCCAAGGCCTCAATAAATTTGAAAAAAATATGAAAAAATTATTTAGAATATTATTATGAATTTAAAAATTATCTTGGGTCTCAAGATGTGAAGGAAATTATTTTTTGATATTTTATGATGAAACTTTATTGGTAAGACTTGATTTTGGAGAAAATTCAATACAGAAAGTTAGAGGTGGAAATAAATTTCAGAAACATTCATGAGACCTTTTCTTATTAAAAGAGAATTTTTGATGGGGAAAAATAAATTTTTGAAGGCCCAAAACTATTTTTGAAAATAGTAACCAATATTATGAGTTTTAGTTGAAAATTGATAATTTGTGATTGGGCCACATTTCCTCTTTCTCTTTAATCATTTTTTAGCTCATTTTGGGCCAAGAAAGCCCATAAAATTTGTGTAGCCCATGGTCCCTCTTGCCAAGAGAGTTTAAACCCAATTTAAGCCCAAAACATATAAGAAAAATCAAAGACAAAGGGACATTTGGCATGACCTGAAAATTAAGGGTTATGAACAAGAACACATGTCCCTTTAGATGGCAGAAAATGAGGCCATTGGAGGAAGAAATGGTCAGCTTGTGAGGTTTATAAATACTCCTCTAAAAGAGTGAAAAGGCCAAAATTAGGAAAAAGAAGAGAAATTTTGTTCAACTAAAAACTCAACCTTAAAGAGCACCTAAAACCTTCCAAAGCAAGAGAAAATCATCAAGCTTTAAGCAAGGATCCATTAAAGTATGTCTAAGCTTGATTTTAGTTAGATTTAAGGTTGTTTTGGTTGAAATTTCATGACAAAACCTAAGCTACCATGCTGCCAATTTTTTGTCACTATGAGGAAGCATTATGAAAGGATAGAAACCATGAATATGAGCTTGGAGTGATATGTTTGATTGATGGTTGGATTGAATTTTGGAAGAAAATCAAAGTTAGGTTTTAACCATACTATTGGCCACTATGTGTTCTTAAGATTAGAGATTGTTTTAATGTGATTTGATGATTTCAATGAGTTTAAAAGGTGTTTTTGTATAGAAAAATACAAGAAAAAGTATTTAAAATCATTGGAATCAAAAATGAAAATTTTGGACTCCTAAACCCTACTATTCGGCCAAAGCAAGTTAAAGGGGAAGGAATGTTATTTTGTTAAATTTGATTTGATTATTTGAATTTTACATGAAAAATTGTGTAAGAATGGCCCAAGAGATTGGTTGAAACAAAGAGAAAATAATAATGTTAAAAATCAAAGAAACAAGGGTCTATATGAGTTTATTGTTAAGCAATGGTATTCATGTTTGGATTATTAGTAATATGGAATGTATTTATGCTTGGATTGATAGGCATTGTGCAAGAAAACCAAAAGAAGCAGGAGGCTGAATTGTATACCTAAGAAAGAGGTAGCATTGAATTCATAATTTGATTGCTTTCTTGCTTGTTTAAATGTATATGTGTTATTTGTTTTATGTTGCCATGATGTGATTGAGCAAGCAATATGTTTATGTGTAAAATTCTATGTCAAATATGCCTTGGCAATATGTAATGTGGAATGGCATAATAGTTGATTTATGGCTCTCTTTCCATGGCAATTGATAAGCACATGAAATGTTGCATGATAACCCTAGTTTTATGATAACATGTCACATTTTTAGATAGCATGATTAGCATGATAATTGTGATTTGGTGCTACTGAGATTTCCTATGAAATCTTATTCTTCTATGTTCAATTATTCATCAAATAAGGGTTGGATCAACCTAGGAGATTATCTTGGGAGACAATTGAGTTTAATGCCTCTTGAAAGAATGTTGTATTTATTCATGAATATTTATGGATTATTGAGAATTATTGTGGATTTTTGTAATAATGATCAAGAGTGTAATACATGTGGATACTTGATTAAGAAATCATGTTTAAGCATGTGAAATGTGCTTAGAATGGTTCTATGGAATCAAAAGATGAGAAAAATCAAGAATTGCATGAAAAAGGGATAAAATAATCCTAATAATGCAACTTTTTCCCACCAACAAAATTTCTCCCTATCTTCCTCCCTATTTTAATGTTAATTTGATGACAAGAATAAGGTTGGAATTATACAATTTTGTTAAGGACAAAATTGGAAAGAAGTTACCTTAGATTTCAAACTACTTTTCAATTTGATTAGAGCACATGGGAAAAATTAGAAGAGCAACACATGGCATCTTAATTGGACATTTGGCAAGATCAAGGAATACATGGTTTTATCAAGTGACATGTGTCATAGTAAAATAGTAAAAGTAACTTGGATTGACCCAAGATAAATTGTAACTAGAGCCTTATGAATACTGCTTTCTCCCTCCTCCTTCAGTGTTTGGATGGCCAAGAGAGGAAGAGCAAGGGGAGCATTAAATTTTAGAGCGAAAAAGGAGGAGGAGACGAGCTTCAAGTCCTAAAAAAATCTAAGCTTCAAGAGAAGATAAGATCATGATTTTCAATATAGTTTATGATGCTTTGTGTCTTGCAAAATTTGGTTATGCTTTTTGTTGAGATTTATAAGCATAAAACCCTAAGTATTTATGCTGTCCAATATTGATTAAGTCATGAAAAAGATGATTGATGATGGAATCATGTTTAACAGATAGAAAGGAAGAAGAATCAAGTGGCTTAGTGATAAAATTGGAAAGAATCTAACTTCCCTTTATTCATGAGAATTTCGGCCAAACATAGGGATGATGCTAGGGCTGCATTTAGAATTAAAAATTGCCCTGGGTAAATATAAGAAAGCAAATTTGGAAGCATTGAAATTGAAAATGCAATTTTAAACCCTAACCCTATGCATTTGGCCAAGTTGAATTGAAGGGGAAGGAGTTGGATTTTGTTGAATTTGAGTTTAGAAATAGATTATCATACAAAATTATGTGGGAATAGCGTATAAAATTAATTTTATAAAGATTGAAATCAAAGCTCAAAAGTAAGATGTTAAAGTCTACTAAAGAGCAAAGTATAAATGTAATTAATTCTATAGCTCTAATAAATGAATGACAATGATGTGCTAATGTGGTTAGGGCCATATGATGTCAAGGACGATGAATTGAAAGGTTGATCAAGCAACCTTTATGATTGGAAGCATAAGGGAGTAAGAGGAAAGATTGAATGTAGAAGGCTAAAGGTAGCAAACTTTACCCTACCCTTATATGCTTAGTATTTGCTTGCATGTATGGCATATTTGTATGTTTATGTGATGTTATGAACTGATGTATTTGTGAATGTGAATATGTTTAAAGTATGCTACAGGTCTATGTGTTTTATGATAAATACATGATACTTTTCAAACATGTCATTATGTTATAAAGATATTAGGTTGCAAGCATGTTATGAATACCTAGCTTGTCATATATGTTTAAACGGTTATTGTTTGCTACTAAGATTTTTCTTAATCTCAACCTCCTTTAACCAATCATGAACAAGCCTGTAGATTGAAAATTTGCAAGTTAATTCTCGAGTTACTGTTTATTGGTAAAATTCTAGATTTTTCAGTCCAATTTAAAAAATCAGAACTAATTATTAA